ATGATTTATTTACAATTGTTATTACCAGCAGAAATATAACAAATAAACAAACATAATTTAGAGCCAAGTTTTAATTCTGCAAACATGAATTCCACCTCCAATGTGAGCTTCTAACAATAAGTGAGATACAAACAAGCTTACTTCTTTTCCTAAATAAAGTAATTTCACCAACAATTCGAATAATGCTGTTTAGCCATTTTTCATCATTCCTACGTTGGACAAAATTTGGAAAAAAAATAGGCGTTTGAATAAAACGCCCTGTTGAAAAGAAAAAATAATTAAATCTTAATTTGCAAAAAAACCCGTAATTTTATAGCTTTCCCATAAATTCGATTTGTAATCAAATTATTCAGTTACTTACATGGAATATTTGCTATATTTTTTTCAGCTCTGTCACACTTTCCTCTTCAACTGCAGTCCAATTTGAAACACAGCATTGAAGGGAACATGTGCGTTTCTTGGCGATCGCTTGCCATCTTTCCTTGTTTACGACGCCTTTTACGGCACGCGATCGTTTCAGGCATTGGATCGCCGAAAGTAAGGGGATTGCGTCAGTGCGGCTCTTTATCGGCCCGGGGCTCAGCTCGTGTGATTTATGCGATGATAAGAAACCACCTGTGCCCGTAGCACTGGCAATGGCCGCCAGATCATTGCGGTGAGAGCGTTGGCAACTCAATCATTGTCTCTGCGAGCGAGCGGCCCGGGCTCAGCTTGAGTTACTGCCAACATATCTCATCAAATTAAAACAGAGCCATATAAACATAAAATTGTTCGCTTTAACTGTTACTAATAAAAAACTGAAGATAATTTCATTTCCACATCAATCATGAGAAAAATAGGCAAAAAACGTAAGACACCCTTATGCAGAAAAGTGCGTTAATAAAAAACAGGCCCTGGCAATTTCGCCTTTATTGATGCACCATTCCTTCTGGCGACATCAATGTTATCCCTTGAAATCGCTCAATCCATCTACGCCTTCCGTCTTAATTTTGCCTTGCCATCTTGAAAATATAGCTTTAATAAATTTTTGCTCGACCTCAGCGATTCTTTGAGCGTTCTGGTTTCAACCATGTCTTAAAATTTTATATTATTGTTATTAATTTCATGCAAGTCTGATGGATATTTATAAGCTGAGAATATAGTCATCTCATCATAGTTAGTTGAAGCATAGTATTGTGCAAATGTGAATAAATGTGTTGGAATTAACATATAATTATAACATTTTTTAAATTATCAGCAACGGAAGTTTTGAAGCTACTGCCAGTTTCCAAGAACAATTTAATTTAAATTATAAAATTAGAAGTCATTTAATAATAAGATTCAGAACTTTGAATTTATTTTAAAGCTGAAATATTATGTTTTGGTAAAATAGAATTTTCATCAATCAAGCAAAATATATTTAAAACAGCTTGATTTAAAAATATTTTAAAATGAAACATATATTCAAAGGTAAAACATTTATATGATTAAAAATAAGCTTAATTACACGAAAAGAAATAAAATTTAATATAGTGCTGTAGAAAATAAGTAACTTAAAAATAGTCTATTACTCCTATAACATGAAGTTAATAGAACAATATTGAAACCTTTATTGCAGAAATTTCAAAGGGGTTAAATATTTAGGCAAAATTTAATGCAAAATCTGAAAATCCATTAATTGGTTGACTAAATTTTAAAATTTCTTGAAACATTTTCAAAATTTATTAACTTGCCTTCAAATCTTGGTGGTGAAATATGCGTTCATTTTCAACTTTAATCAAACCTTTGCCGGCCCGGCTGCAATTAGAGCGACCGCAATTTTACGATTAAAAGCCAAATTGGTGCTTTTAGCAAGCTCTCTCGTTCTAATGAATACACACGGCGGCAGCAACTGGTGCAGAGTGAAATATTCAGGAGCATGCTGGGATGTAACGAAACGATTCCCCTGCGAGTGGCAAAGGCGGCAAAATCTGTCTGGCATCGTTCGCTTTATTTCACTGTTTGCGCCGATCTTGGGGCCTCGGCTGCTGGATTATAATTCAATTTCGGGTCGGCTTTTATTAGAAATGCTCTCAGCCACTTTCAGCTTCAGGCCTACCTCAGGTGCGCTTCGTGGAAATACTCAATGAAATTTTAATGATGTTTGCCGTGCATAATTCTCTCTGTTGCTTCCGTAAGCCTGCATTGGTAATTAAAAGTAAAGAAAAAATTTAATATATTTAAAAAAAGTCATCTGCAAAAGGAGTCCTAAATTTCTAACTATTTCAAAGAAAAAATAAATAAATTGATGGATAAAATATTTTTTGTTTGATTTGGAAAAACAGTCTGAATTTTATCTGAAAATATGGTCAAGGGTCTTATTGAGAAAATAGGAACTTGTATGTATAGAACTCCTCAAGAAACAGATAAATTTATTTCCTTTAGGAAACAAATGTTGATATAAAGTGCTATGGGAATCATTAAAATTGTAAGTATACAACTGTGATCTATTACACACTATGAAATCAATATACCTTGTTGAGTTTTATCAATAAGAAGTCGCTGCGAACAAAGTTGACAGGCTCTCCTTTGTCAAACGCCTTCTCCCGTCCCACTTTTTATATGATGAAGCATGACAGCTCTTTACTTAACTAGTTCAATACCACTCTCTCGTCCCCTATTTTATTTTCTCCGAGAGCAGCCTTTTCACGCAAAGGCTTTTCTCCTTTATAATTAACTGAAGTGGCAAATTTGACGTGAAATATTGCGAGCTATCGACGTCGTAATGTGAGCAAAAATTTATTACGGCTTTCATCTTTAAGATGACAAGGCCAAATTGAGACCCTGGATAGATGAAGAGAGAGAAAGAGAGCGACTTAAAGAGATAACGATGGTGCCGCCGGAGGGGTGGTGCACCATTAAAGGAGAAATTGTCATGATCATTTTATGATTCAGGCAGTTAAATTTGTCGCAATGTGTTTGGGATTTATTTGTGAGCAGTTTTTTAACCAGTTTCTTCAATTAAAAATGGAAAAGTTCTTTAATTCTTTGGTCAACTGCATTCTGATTTGAAATTGCTATGGATATTTACTTTTTTTTCACTCTCATTGCTAATTTTTTTTAAGAACTGATGCAGGAATCTCTTTTGCTTGTTGGTTTAGTTAACTTTTCAATTATAAACAATGGTATAAACAAGCAATGCATCAAAATTGCATTGATACTTATTTATATCATCATTCATCAAGAATTATAAATTCACCCTGACTTTAATGTTTGCGTATAAGAATGAGTTATTTTTATTAATATTTTTGTCATAGATTTGAGTAAAGGGGACGTTCTTGGAATTGTAAATTAAGAAAAGGGACTGGTCCTTGTTTGAAAAAATTATATAAAATTAAACCGTTTGCTGACTAAATAAAGAATATTTTAATGAGGACATAGTCCGTTTTATTCATTTCATTATCACCAATGCTTTTTTGTAATAAATTTAAATAGATTCCTTCCGAATAATGCAAAACTCGTCACTTTCCCGCCATTATCACGGTTCTTGGAAAATTGCAAAATAAAAAAAAAGAAATTATTGTGTCAAAAAAGTCAAGAAGAGCATTCAACTGGAACTCACAATTGAAATTTAAAAGTTTGAACAAATATGGTACAATTCTTTCCAAGAAAATGCAACCCACGCTTTTCAAGCGTGAAAAGTGTTGTTCAAAAGCGCGAAAAATTAGGCACAAAGTCAAATATTTGTCTGCTCCGGCAATCAGTTTGCGTAACAAAGCTCAAACTAAGTAGCTCAAAGTTTAGCGATTCAGTCGGAGGTCTTAAAAGCTGCCGGGGGGTGCTAAAGTAAGTAAGCCCCGGAGAACCACTTGACTCGGACCCTCCAGAATTCACCGAAGGCAAGTCGGCTGGAAGTGGAGAGCAGGTGGTGTGCAGCCCCTTAAAATATTCATCGGGAACAAAGGCGCCGAGAGTGACAAATCAAATCAATCGTGACGGAGGCGCAGTCGACTGAAATTAAGCCTGGAACGCATCTGGCTCGCTTTATTGACTCTGATTGATTGATTAATCGGGCGTGCACTGAAAGAGAGAAAGAGATCGTGATTGATTCCATCCGCTGCAGGCCGCCGTTTTTGCTGGCGGGCGAAATGCATCGCTTTTTGCTCAGCCAACTTTGAACAGATCAAAAGCAGATCGCTCAGCGCAATTTGTGCAACGTGATTGGGACTTTGATGAGCAGAGGGAGGCGATTCTGTAAATTGCGCACCGCAAAATTAAAAGCTTTTACCGGTGGAATTTGAATTCAAATTATTTACATCAGAGTTGATTAATCTGTGCACAGGTGCGGAAAACGCTTCTTGCAAACAGTTGCGAATTTTAAATTAAAATTTTTATTCATGTTATGCAAAAATTGATCTCATATTTTAATTTTTTAAATGTAAAAATAAATTCAGCATTTTTAATGAATTATTTCAAATTCTAAATTTTAGGCTTTAAATTTGCCGTTTCTGTTCACAAATCATTAAAATTTAATATGAATTTTTGTTGAAATGTTCTAAAATTAGCTTCACTGAAAGCTTGAGAACTAAAACTAAAAAAATTTAGATTATTTATTTGAAATATTAACCAGATTATTATATGATTTGATCATTCAAGTATTCCTAGAAATGAGGTTTTAAGTTTTAATGATACAGTTTGCATTTTTTTTTTCAGTACGCAGTGATTTTGCTTGTTCTGCATTTTCCAACGCTTGAATATATATTATTCCAATTATTTTCTCGTATTTTTGCTCAGCTATTTGACGACCTTTAAAAAACGCAATTCTTTTAACTCAGGTGTTATGTTTTAAAATTTGCCAAGCATACATGTTCACGAAGCATCTACTTAGAAAGTTAACGACTCTCTATTGTCTTGCTAAAATCAATCAGCGTCTTTTGTTCTCCGTCAAAACCGCCAGAAGCAGCACATTTTTGCTGGAGAACAATGCAAGAGCGCCTCTTAAAAATAACTAGGTCGATATAAAGCACTGTTGACCCACTCACCTCTCGAGCCGTTGGTATTTTTGGCCTCAGACAGGGCGGCCACGAGGAGCAGACTGACGAGCGTGGCCACGGCCAGCAGGACAGCCACTTGGCCTGCTCCCTCCGTCCTCATCGCTTCTCTGTGAAACAAACACAAGGCATTCCAATTAAGGGTGTGCGTAAAACAAGCAAGGAGACGAGACGAGGCGAGACACGCACGAAACATTCCTGCCCGCCCGGTTGCATAACTTTGCTCCGGGGATTACGTTGCGCGTCAGTTTGTTTTCCGATGCACGAACAAAGTGGCAGCCGAAGACCAACTTCAGCATTGGCAAGATCTGACAAGTGCCAAACTCGGAACGCCCTTCGGCGCTGCCTTGGAATGTGAAAGGGCCAAACTTTCCGAGAGAGAACGAACACCATTTGCACTTCAAGACAAATCGATCAAGCTTTTAACTTTTGAGAGTGCTATACTTGCTTTGTTATCTTTGGATCAAAACTTTTTTTAATTGCAATCCAATCGGGGAAAAAAGCAGTTTACGTTGTTCGAAACTGGCAGACTTTCCTTTTTTATTGGAAAAGATAATATTTTAAATGTTTCTACTTGTAAAATACGTTCCTTTACGTTAGTATTATTAAACTCTCGATGGCAAATTAACTTTTGTTTGGATAGTATCCAATAAATGCGCATTGCAATTGTACTTATTGACATTGACGTTATGCTTGAAGTTTGAAATTCACGATTTGTGACAATTTTATAAAAAGAAAGTAAAAAAATTTATTATTTTTTTAATTCTCTGATATTTTGCGTACAAAAGATTGTTCATTGTGCGTATAATATTTGCGCTTTCACTCTGATTGCTTGATGAGGTTATTTTGTACCTTCTTTTAATCACTTTTAATGTAGATAAAATAATAATAATAAACTTAACTGAACCCCAGTAATTTCTAATATTACAAGTTTAAAAAATCCCCAAATTGAAGTTACGATGAATTGTATTTCAAAGTTAAATTTATCATACTTTCCTTAAAACAGGTCAAAATAAAAAGATTCAAAATTTAACCGTTAGAAAAATATACCAGAAATTTTTCAACCGCTGCGATAATTAACTTAACTGATTTGAAAATGTAATTGAAACAAATTGAGGATCAATACTTTCTGGTTCAGTTTCTATCTTTCATGCTTTTTGTTAAAAACACTTGATTTTATGCTAAACATAAATTTCTTCCTCAAATAAAATATTATTTGTTAAATTCATTATTTAAAAAATTAATTGTTAAGAAGAGATCATTATAATTGGTATCGTAGGAATCAACTCTCATTTTAAAGCTCTTATTGATAGAAAAATACAAAGCCTCAACATTTGATTATGAAATTAAAAACTTTAAAAAGTACCAAAAGTGACGTAACTCAATTTACTCCATTTCCGATCTACCGATTAACATTCATAACAATACGTATAACATGTTCATCAATATTGAACACGTATGACCGTCCACGGACTGTTTTATTTCTGGTTCACAAAACAGCATTTCCAGCAATCAGCGCAAAATTTACATGACCATCCCATCAATCAACTGGTCAAACACGGGTCTTCCCTGTGCGTACAACACGCCCTTTTAACGTGATTAAAAAACTCTTTCGAGTGCACTCCGGACAGAGGAAACTTTTGTTCATAAAATTCCCATCGAGCAGCCAGTTGAAGTTATTGTGTAACTTTCCACCAACTCCCCGTTGGGATCGATCGACTTTTTATCACTGCAAAGCATCAGGTGTAGGCGGGAATGAATCACCTCGCCATTTATCCGAGCCGCTAAGCAAATAAAGTGGCTCAAGGGCCGCCGTTTTCGTTCAGTGGAAACTACCTGTGCTTGTGTGTGTGTTTTGTGCTTCATTGCGGGGCGGCCTCTCTATCAAATTGGATTGTGAAAGGGGAGAAGAGGAAGCTTTCGGGCTCAACCGAGGCCTCCGGGGAGACGGCACATTATGCTTTTATGCCACGGGATTATTAATCCCCGGCAGGGATTTTATTTTGCAAAAAAGTATCAACGCGAACCTCATCAAATTTATTATCCTCGTAAAAGCGGTGTATAAAAATGTGAACGCGCAAAAAGGCAGCCATGGGGCTTGATGACTTTAATGTATCGGTTATTCTAATGGAATCGCAGTGGCTAAATTTACAACGATCCCAAGAGAGAAATGTGCAAATCGTGAAAAACTAAATTTTAAGTAACATATCTAGCGATTGACACACAGTAATTTATTGCTAGCAAGTAGAGCTCATGTGAATGAATGAAGGTAAAAGACCCCAGAAGGAAATTTAATTTTGATTGTGAGTGGTTTAAAAATATAATTGTTTAAAGAAAAACACGAATTTCAATTTAAATGAAATAATAAAGAATCCTATGTTCAAATAAAAATTCAATAAATAAAGAGAAAAATTGATGTTTTTCCCCATGAAAAGGAATTATTTTAAACTATACCTAAACTACAATCAGCGCTGATTTTACTCTGGAGTTATTTACTATTAACAAAAAAGACACTCTTTTTGTTCATCAGTCATAGCTGATCGTGAGATGAGGAATTTAAAATTGGCGTTCAATAGAAAGTTTTAGGGCAAAAATTTCATATTTTTAATGTATTTGAATTTTCTGGTAATGAATTTCAATTTTACTCTTTAAAATGGAGAAATAGTAAAATTCTTGCTATTTCACATTTGAAAAAGGTGGATAGAGATTATTTTTGAGGTTAATTGCCAGAAAAGGTTTTTGCACTATGTGTGTGTGTGTTTTTTTTTAACTTTTGCGTTTTCAATTTATTTTTTTTATTATATTTAAATCCATTTTCATGAGCTTTTTCGTGTCAAGACGCGTTTTAAAACCGTGAAAAGTAGCATTTTACACATAAAACAGTCGATTAGAGCCGTTCTTGAGAAAGCTCTAGAAGCAAATAATTCCAATTAATCGAATGACCTTTGCTCTCCTATTGTTGATGCACGCAACAATGACGTTTCCAATTGGCGACAGATTGGAAAGAAATGTCGAGTGCGCTTGCCTTTGTGCCGCGAGAGAGAGAGAAGCGTTTTTCCGAGCACTTATCCGCCCTGCGCAAACTTTCTAACACACTCGCCGCCATAATCTCCGGCGAGTTTTCCTTCGGAAGGCGCGCGCGATTTTCGCCCCTTGGCGGAAAAATTAAGTCTCTCGAGCGAGCGAGAAAAACGCCTTGATGCGCGTCGAGAGTGTTAATGAAGGCGGCTCATCCATCGATTCTGGATGCTCATCAGCCCGAGGGCGCGCAAAAAATCACTCGACGAGCCACACACCCGCGCCCTAATGAGCGTTGAGGAAAATTCGGCGACATTAATACCAGGCGCGGAAGCGTTTTCCTTCACTCGACGCGCCACTTGATATGCGCGTCTGCGGGGGATTAATTATTCCTGCGGGTGCCGCCTCTCGTCTTATTTGAATAAACACGAAATCGCGTCGACGCCCGCAATATCTGGTCTTTAGTCAAAGCTGCCGCCGCTCGATTTGCATTTGATTTCTCCGCCTATGTTCTTATATTAATTAATTCCAGTCTGAGACGGCTGAACTTTCTTTTTGTTTAATTTCGATAGGAGAGAGAGAAACGCTCTGCTTTGGGCGATTTGATTTCATTAAGAGCGAAATTCAAAGGTGTCAAAAAGTTTTAACAGATTTCGAGCGTGACAACTGCAGACGTGCTCGCGGCAAACGAAACTTCGCCGCTGTCAATTAAAACGATCGGAGAGAAAAGGGTTGTTGAACAGGACTCGTGGGGTTGTTGAAAATCTGTTTGGAGACGTGCGAGTTAAACAAGACTATATAATAATATAGTCAAAATTAAAAAGAAAAAAATACGGAAAACTTGTTTCTAGCGTATGCGAAAAAATTCTGTAAATTTTCAAGACAGGAAATAAAATATGTAAATTAATTAATAATGTTCTTTTAGCGAAACAGAATTTCAAAGAATGCCAGGAAATTCAAACAAATAAAATCACTTATACTCGAACACTCACGAGGTATGAGTTTTTCTCGCCCTTTTTGTAGCAGGAAAATTCCCGTATGAACGGCAGGCCAAAATTTGAAGACTCCTTCCTTGTGGCGAGTTTCACACTTTTCCTCTGAATTTGCGAACATCAACCTGCTTTAAATGCACTTTTGGCGGTTCTTGACGACTACAGCACAGTTAATCACTAAAAAATGAGCTCTTTCAAGACTCTAAGCAAGGTTTTTAATGAGATTTCTTTTGAAATTCATGAAAAAATGGCAAAAACGATGCTTCTGTTGACAAAAACCACAATCACTCCTACCAGCGCAAGTACATCTGAGGCCAGCACATGGTTTTTCCCACCAAATTAAACAGATGATTTGTAAAAGTCACGTGATTGATCAACCAATAGAGTTCGTTGTTTACCAAACCGGTGATTAATCACGACATAATTCGTGAAAAACGCATGTTTATATTTTCACATAGCCATTTCAACTCTAATTTTTTTAACAATTAACTTTTGAAAAGGTGAAAAAGTGATTTTTACGTGTTTTAAGTGTTGCGGATTGATTTCGTGTCATGATAAGTCGGCGGACGTTGCGGAAATCGAAGATAAAATGGCCAAAACTGGATTCCCTGGACCAGGACATCCGAGCTGGCGGCCGGCAGGGGTGAGTTTATGATATTTATTTTTCCCCGCGAGATTTTCATGCCCACAAAGAACGAGAAAAACCGAATCTCCGCGAGAGTGAAGAAACTAATTAAATCTGATCTTAGTTAGAATTATAGTCAAACAGTCAAAATTGAAATTCTGCAAATAATATTAGAAATGTCCTAAATAATTTTTATAAACTTGATATGAAATTAATAAAAAAATTCGAAATAATAATTTAAAATCATGATAAATAAAAATTATAAAAAATTTAATAGAGCTAAAGCCTAGGGCGCCCATAGGCTTACTTGTTAATTTTGGTAAATAAAATTTCGTTATAGCTAGTAGTGATCATTATCTAACTTTTTCTCTGTACAATAAGGTTTATTTTATTTTCATTTTTTACACAACTTCATCAATAATAATTGCGAATGAATAATCAAGTAATCAATAAAATAAATAAACATGCTGCTGCT